CCAGGTTATTTTAGGAAAGAGTAGCGCACATGTGCAAAAGAAAATTAAATGGATCAGTTTCAGCTCTCTTTAAAATGAGGATGTAAAATGCTGTGTGAGCTCTTGCCTCTGTGCACACATGTTCGCACATGTGCATATGCGTGTTATGTGAAGCAAGGCGTGAACAAAAATAGATATGAGCTGGGCCAACTAATGAGTCCCAGCATCTTGGGCACATGTAGCTATTTTTAAACTGTTGCCTCCTCCTCTATCTGCAAGCTCTTCTTCCTCTCCCCCCACTCCCCTCTGATTTTGATGCACAATGTATAACTGAGACCTGAAGTGTATCAGTTTATGGTTTTGGTTTCCTTACGCCAGACAAAACACCTTTTTTGGGTTGAAAAAAAAAACAACAAAAAAAACATTAAGTTTATTAAGTCATTAAGTACATTAAGTCAGCTACTTTTATTTCCAAACTTATATATTTTATCATATTGGACTTACCATTATTTTAGATTTAGATATTTTTTTTGTTTTGTTTTTATGTGTATTGTCTATGGTTTATGTTTTAGGTTTTTCATGTCTTTATACATTCTTATTGTTTCTATTTGATCTCTCATTGCATAATTACCAGTCCACAATTCCTTTTTTAAACTTATTTCCATTATGATAAAAAAAAACAAATACAAAAAAACTTTGACATTTCTAGTATTTTTTTTTAATGTTCCTCCATCTGTTTTTAAGCAAAGCTCTTTGTGTTACACTGGTTTCTGTTAAAATGGCTCTACAACTAAACTTTGATTGAAAACAAATACTTAGATTTTACATAATTGAAAAAAGAAACACCCAGTTAAACTGAATAATAACCTAAAAATCAAATCACTGAGGATCTCTAGTCTTTGTGCTTGCTTCTGATCAGGCTCTCTGTGAGCTCACTCTTGCTTGGAGGGTGGCCTACTTCATCTATTATTCATCTTATTACAGGCTCTAATTGTGTGTTATTGAGGTCCGTCGTTTTTCTTCAAAAAAATATGACATTTCATTACTACTCCTTCCCCTCCCATTAAAGTACGGGTGTTATTTGTCACATTACGAAAGATTGATGGTGCATTGGGAAACCCTGCGCCGTCACCGTCGTCTAACGTCGGTCCTGACGTGGGTCGGCCCTGCTCAGCTGGCCGACAGCAGAGATGTTAGATGGGCTAACACAAAATGGAGGAGGCAGCAGACACAAGCTCAGCTGGTCCATTAGGAGCATGTCTGTTTCCTGACACTCAGAATTGAGATGACGGAGCATTAAGACGCCCGCAGGAGGCCGTGGGCATCGATGCATAAAGGTGTGCGCGTTTGTGTGTGCGTGGTGACCCAGGGAACAGACCCATGGAGTGGAGGTGGTGGTGAGGGGTCCTGTTGGGGGAAGGGCAGAGTGGATTAGTAATAGAGTGCGGCACAGTTATTGGTCACTGGACACAAACAATGGGAGGGCTAAAGAGGATTTGGTCTGTTTGAGTGCCCCCCTCCTCCTCCTGTCCTGGAGAGCCAGTGGGAAGTGTATGGTGTAGAGATCCGGGATGCACCATTTTGGGCGGCCCTGTACATCTGGAGGATCGGCCTTGTCTGCTATCCCCCACACCTCTTCATAGGACGTATCGGAGACAAAAGCATTATTCACCAGTTAGACAGTGGCGAGACACGATAATTGTCTGTCATATCAAAGCAAATCGATTATACAGTGGAGGCCCTGTAACCTATATATATATATATATATATATATATATATATATATCACTCAACAGAAACATTGGGTAGTTGTGTAATATCTGCAGTTTGTTAGCCTGCTGGGTAATTTAATCAGCAAGTTTTTAAAAATATCAAGTCTGACTCATTTTTATGAATCTTCAAAGCACATCAACCCTCTGCAGATTGTTGGCTCATAAAACTGTGATTCACTCATAGAATCAATGAGACCGATTATTAAAAAGTTCTCTGGAGAATTATTTATTTGGTTTTATATTATGTGTTAGTTTTGATACTTAAGGTTTTGGAGAACTTGCTGTAACAAACAGAACAAAAACATTCTTAAGAAGACAGTTACTGTCAGTGTGTGACCATAAGCTCAAACATGCCTTATCTACGCAGCAGAACAAGGATGCGAAGCCCACCAACAAGTCCAACGCTGAATGGGTGGCCTAGTCAAAGTCTGGACTTAAATCCGATTGAGATTATTGATTGATCTGAAACATTTAAATGTGACATAAAAGCAAATACGGAAGACATCTGCGATGGGCCAAAGACTTTTCCACACCTCTGTATGTCATTGTTTTGTACAAAAAATATCATGTAGGTACTTTGAATGCTTTGTTACTGTATACAGAGCATTTGTTTCCCAGAACAGAATGGGTGTGTTGCGATAGAAAGAGCCAGCCATGCCTGCTGAAGATGAGCCAGGCGGCGCTAATAGGCAGATCTTGAGCAGAATACCTTCTTTGTGTTTGGGCGATTTAATGAGTCCGTGATAGGCCATCAGAACTCCATGTTGGCTCAGTCTCCAACAAGGAGGCCTATTGTGTGATGAGCTGATGGGCTGTGCATGTGTCAGTGCTAGATTGTAAATTATGGGTCACAGTTTGCTTCATATTTGCCTAAAAAAATCTGTAATGAAATTTGATGTCATTTATTTGAACAGCAGTGTAGATGAAAGGAGACTAGAGTTTCTGGGTAAATTTAATTTAATAGCAACATATGTCTGGTGTGTGATGAATATATCTATACATGGCACCATCCATACACACTGGCACAGATTTAAAGATTTAAAAATTAATTCAGCTTCTGCTGTAAAATGAAATGAAACTGAAGTTTTTCCCACAGTTCTCATCTCTGTGAGCTTTTTTATTTTCTAGATGGACCATCCTTGTGTTGATAAACTTGAGTTTTGTTTCACACTGTTTCAGTTGATATTGCTCTGACTATTAATAGATGCAAGTTTAACAAAGTCTATTTTCTTTTAGCCATTTTATGTGCGCTTCTGGTTTTATTAGTCACATTAATAACATATACCAGCAGAGGGGTGCTAATAAATATTTTGGACTGATCGTCGACTGGCCCACCTGGAAATTAGAACCAAAATGAATTGAAATTGGATCTAAAACAGGGTTTTATTCACTTAAATTGAATTCTAGAGCATGATTGAGCGAGATTTTTCTTAGCATGTCCTCATTCACCGATTCATCAACGTTTGAGCTGCTAAATTTCAGTGGATTTATATTTCTGTTTAAGAATTTTCAGTAAAAAAATATTTTCCTTTTTTTTTTTGTAATTCTTTTAATTGAGCATCGAAAAAAATGTTTATTGTAATATAAAACAATGGCTTCTCAAAAACAGCCCAAAGTTAAAGAGGTAATCTGCTTCTCTGAGAACATACAGGCTGGGACAAATATATATGTACAAATAAACCCAGTTATTTAATTTACTTTATGAAACAAAATATCGCTTGAACTTTTTTTATCGCACCCAAAATATAATAAATCAAGTAAAATTTTGTCCGATAAGATCCATTTAGAGTAGATAGCAGCACTGCTCATAGTAATTACTGATGGAGCATCTTCCTGTTACCTGCAGAAGGCTAACTTTGTGTTGAAGCAGCCAGGAATGTGCTGCCAAGATGCTTTAGTAAGATGCGGCTTCCTTTCTGTGATCCTTTTGACTTTTTTTTTTAAAACACCTCAGTAACACTGGAAATATCACACTTTTGGTCTTCACTAAGTAACAATCTCCACACTGAAGAGTGTTGTTGTCAGTGAAACCCTGTTGTAGCTTTTAACCTGATTGAAATTTTGGTTGTGGACCAGCATATCAGTCATTAGCCAGTTTTGTTTTTTGTTGCACCTCTATTCAGAACACTTGTGTAAGTTTTCCTCATATAGCTGTAATATCTTGTTTGTTGCACTTTAGTAATTACCATCCACTGTAGTGTCACACACCGTGCTGCACTGTGACCTTTTTCAATCTCTGACTCCCCTCTGTTCTCCTTCCCAGTGGCTACCATGACAACAGAGGCAAGTGCTGTGAACGAGGCCGACACTGAGGGCAAGCAGAAGAGCAGCCGCGCGCCACCAGAAGCTGAACCTGTACAGCAGGAAACGACCGCTACTGAGCAGGAGGGGGAGCAGTCGAGCAACAAGGCCCAGGAGCAGGCTGCTGAGCCTGGGCCTGCGGACGTAGCTACCTCCCCAGAGGAGGAGCAGCTCAAACCTCGTACCAGGACCTCTGCCGGCAAAGGCCTCTCACGCCTCTTCTCCTCCTTCCTTAAGCGGCGCTCTCAGTGCTCGGACGGTGAGGGCTCTGAGGCTGAGAGAGCCAGTGACGAGAAGGCAGACAAAGAGAAGGCTGACAGCGCTGAAGAAGAGAAGGTGGAAGAGGTGAAGAGTGAGGACAATGAGTCCAAAATAGTAGAGGAAAAATCAGAAGTCAAAGAAGTTAAAAAGAAAGAAGAAGAGAAAATAGAGCAAAAAGAGGAGAAAAACAAGGTAGAAGAAAAGGTTGAGAAGAAAGGCAGTAAAAAGAAAAAGAAAGAAGCGAAGAAGAAAGCAGAGGAAAAGGATGAAGGCAAAGTGAAAAAGGACGAGACAAAAAAGGAGGAAGAAAAGCCCGATAAGCCAGAGGAGCACAAGGATGAGAAGATAAAGACAACTGTTGAAAAGGAGGAAGCAAAACCAGAGACAAAAGAAGAAAAGAAGCAGACCACTCAGATTAAAGAGAAGGGGACAGAAGCTGGAAAGAAAGAAGAAGGCAAGGTAGATAAGAAGGAAGCTAAGAAAAAAGAAAAGGAGGAAAAGCTGAAGAAAAAAGAAGAGGAAAAAGCAAAAAGAAAAGCAGAGGAAGAAGAGAGGGTAAGAAAGAGAGAAGAGGAGAAAGCAAAAAAAAGAGAAGAGGAAAAAGCCAGAGAGGCTGAAAAGTTGAAAAAGAAAGAAGAGGAAAAGGCTAAAAAGAAGGAGGAGGAAAAAACTAAAGAGGAAAAGACAAAAAAGAAGGAGGACGAAAAAGCTAAAGATCAGGGAAAAAAGAAAGAAGAGGACAAACCAAAAGAGGAGAAACAAGAGGAAAACGTGAAACACTTGGAGACGACAGAGAAAGAGGAGGAAAAGACAGAAGAAAAGCAGCAGAAGGAAGAAGAAAAGGGAAAGAAAAGGGAGAAGGGAAAGAACAAAGGAAAGAAGGAGGACAAAGAGGAGAACAAGCCAAGTGAGGAACAAGTGAAAGCGCCAATTGCGGCTCCAGAGCCAGAACTAAAACTTGAGCTGGACACAGAACAGGCTGGAGATCACCAGTCGGTAAGCAGCGCTGAGACACAGGTGAGACAAACCTGAGAGCCCGATTGTCACTGAGCTCCTGCGGCATAGTTAATGTTAACGCGCACATCCATAAAACCCACGAAAAACACCAGCCTCACAGGAAACATCAATGTTCCTCAAAACTTAATTGTGGAGCAGAACAATCAGGAGGAGGCACTGGGTGGAAGCATGGGGGGATTACTGGTACCAAGTTATACCTAGGTTTTAAAAGTCATGGCTCCAAAACTGCAGACATTTTCAGACACACAGTTTTAAATGAGATGCCAGAAAGGGTGATAGACCTTACTAGTCTGTATGGAGTAGCACAACTCTGCCCCTCCCCCACCTGTTGCTATGCATTTTTGTTTTAGTTTTCAACCTTGAGACTCTAAGCAGCCAGTAAAAAAAGAACCAATAAAAGGCTTACTTTGTGCCAGTAAATTTACCAAATGTTAAAATGTTCTTGCCTGAACATAACAAGAATCTGATTCTTGTTATCCCTGCAAAGTAATAATCAGTGTTATTTTAGCAGCAGTCAGAGTAATTACTTTCATGTTTTAAATTAGAAAAAAAACATCAGAGTACATCTTAATCTTTTTTTTCTGTCATAAATACATTGATATGTTACGTTTTTAAGACCTTTTTAAAATAGTGGTAACTTGCCCACTCCAAAAGCACAATGTATCATACAGCCCCATGTTAAGTCATGTTAAATTGGCGGCTATTTAGATATCAGTAAACAACTTTATTCATCCACTGATGATTATGTTTATTATAAAAATCTGGTTTCTCATTGGGAAATGTAATTATGAAGTAAATGTTTTCCATTCACAGGGCACGTTTTGTAAAGTCTGACCAAATTTGACATGCTTTTTCACATGTTTCCACATGTAAACCAATCAGCCTGCTCCAGAGGAGCAAAAGGAAGAACTGGAGATAAAGAAAGAGCCCAAAGTAGAAGAAGAAATAAAGGAGGGCACAGAAAAGAAGGAGGAGTCAACAGAACAGCAGGAGGTGACCAAAGGAGAAGAAAAAACAAAAGAGAAGACAAAGAAAGAGAAACCTCCAAAACAAAAGAAGACAGAAAAGAAAGCTGAGGAGGCTAAAGGCCCCAAACGTCCAAAAGTCATGCAATGCAAAGTCACTTTACTGGATGACACTCTGTTTGAGTGTGAACTTGATGTAAGAAAAACACCAATTTATACCTTGTTCACTAATGCTTACGTAATGCTGTATGGGTATACAGACTGAAGAATCTCTGTTATGTCCACACCAATAGAAGCATGCTAAAGGTCAGGAGCTTTTAACTAAAGTGTGTGACCATGTCAACCTCCTGGAGAAGGATTACTTTGGCCTGGCGATCTGGGAAACCCCAACCAGCAAGGTGAGCAACATTTTTATTTGATTAATAAAAACAGATGAAGACACTGAGCTGAGACTTGTGGTTGTTTTATCCTCACTTACAGACATGGTTGGAGCCCGTCAAAGAGATCCGGAAACAGGTGTCAGGTGGCGTCTATGAGTTTACATTTAATGTGAAGTTCTACCCTCCTGATCCAGCGCAGCTTACAGAAGACCTCACCAGGTATATGCAAATGTACAACTTTAATGAACAAGTTCAAGTTGTACAACTTTAACTTTTTCGTTGAAGTTATGTAACTTCAACGAAAAGTCCATCCATCCATTTTCTTCCGCTTCATCCGGGGTCGGGTCTTTCAGAAGTCGATCGGAGAGGGATGATATTAAAGGGACGGTTCATGATCTTTGAACTGAGGCTCTGTTGAAAGGTTATTTGCAACCTGATATCTTACCTACAGTAGATAACTTTCTTAGCATCTTCTTTTAGTGTAAATCCGGATCAGTTGATAGAGATTCGGCTAACAGGTTGTTGGACTTCTGCCATCTTAAACAACTACAATCTCAAAAACATCCTAATTGTCTATGCAAATGCTAATTATAAGAGCCTTTAAAGGGTCATTTGGTTCTCATATGGTTTTTATTTTTTGTCTTTTTGTTGCAAAGCTAAATTTAAAGAAATAGACATCAGCACCAACAAAAAGTTTGGATATGTGAATAATGATTGTTCATAAAGGATAATGAGGTAGAATTAGGTGCACCACCAAACATATTGATGAAATTTAGTAAATGTCTGATAAAAAAAAAACGTAAGCAATGTGTAAGTAGAAAAAAAGAAACAGCAATTATGTTTAAATGTTCCCTCCTCAGTACATGTTTCACACATGAATATCTTTGGTGGTGACTCCGACGTTAGTATCCCATGTAGAAAAACAACAAACTAGGGATGTTGAGATTCACTAAGTTGCATTGCAAGATGCAATAAAGCTGGTTAGAGCAGCTTTTCATGACAGCTGTAAAAGTCTGCTCTACCAGCTTTTCACAGCTGGTAGAGCAGCTGTGAAGAAGAATATCTAAAAACTTGAAATACCATCACACAGTGTTGTTTGACATGCTACTGGCTGGCATTTGCAAAGCAGCCAATCAACTTTTCTCTGAACTGATAGGCTATACCCCCAAGAGCTAAAATGAGGAAGACCAAGTCCACTCTGTGTATCAATGCATGTTTAGGTATATTTGATGTTCGGACGACCAAAATGGGCATTTGTGTTCACCACTAATTCAGCTTTGCTTGAAACAAATTTTCACCACAACTCACATCGCATAGAACGGTGTGTGCTCTACAATAAATATTGTACATTGTTATTGAAGGGTAAATTGTCTTGTCTCATTTAGTTTTTCTTTTTTTTTTTAATCCATGAATTTCCTTGGCAGTGTGCCAAGATGCGCATCTATCAGTCACAGACCAGAGATGAACAATCCTATTAACATACCATTGATGTCTGTGTAAATAACCACCCAATTTAAATGTGACAATAATTTGACAGGTCTTAAAATTAGCTTAAACTGCTGATGTTTTTTTTTATTTTTTTTTAATTACATTGTTGCTGTTTTAAGACATAAGAAACATATCAGTGTTGACTTTTATCAATTTAGCTGATGGCTTCAACTTCTGGGACTAACTCACCTGAATTTATTCTGAACAAAAGTGTCATGCGATATTTACTGGAAGAAAGATATTATTTCCTTATAAACTCTTAAACAGAACATCACCTCAAAAGTGATGGACTGTCTCTATCGGCTAATTTTTTTCTGTTTTCCTTTTTCATTGTTGTTTGAAAACACTGTTTTCCCGTGTAAATATCTTAACTTGTCTTTTTCTTTCTTTCGCAGATATTTCCTGTGTCTCCAGCTCAGGAAGGACATTCTGCTAGGTGTTCTTCCTTGCTCCTTTGTCACCCTGTCCCTGCTGGGCTCCTACACGGCCCAGTCCGAGCTGGGAGAATATGACCCGGAGGTTCACGGGACAGACTATGTTAAAGATCTGAACCTGGCACCCGGACAGAGCAAGGAGCTGGAGGAGAAAGTGATGGAGCTGCACCGCACTTACAGGTCATTAAAGGGCCATGGACAATGATTTAAAAAAAAAAATAGAAATTTGTCAGCAGATCATTTTTATTGTGGTTATTAAGTATGAGTAAGCTTGTTTTTGCTCAATTGAACAGTAAACATTTTTGTTTCACCTTTGAATGAGTCGTCTTGTTTGAAATGTTTCTCTTTTCATGTGAAGGTCAATGAGTCCAGCCCAAGCAGATTTGCTGTTTCTGGAAAATGCCAAGAAACTTGCAATGTACGGAGTTGACCTGCACCAAGCCAAGGTGGGTAATTTTCCAAATTCTTTAACATTTTTAAAAAGTTTTTCCAGTTTGTTGTAATGCTTTGGAAATAAACTTGTGACAGAGATTTTTCTACCTTCCCTTTTTCATGTTTAAGAATCTTGGTAATATTTTGCGGCAGTAGTCACGTTTTGCATCATTAAGATTTAATAACAAAATTGATGGCTTAACCCTCTGAGATAAAAATGAAAGGATTATAACATTTCAAACCGCATGACCTCGACAACATTAATTAGGAAAGAAAGAGTGCCCCCTTGTGACTGTTTTCTGAAAATACCAAGAGCTCATGCCATGATACTTATTGATATTTTCCTTCTTGCGTGCAGGATCTCGATGGTGTTGACATCACACTGGGTGTTTGCTCCAGTGGTCTGATGGTTTACAAGGACAAGCTGAGGATCAATCGTTTCCCATGGCCCAAAGTGCTTAAAATTTCTTACAAACGGAGCAGCTTCTTTATCAAAATCAGAGCGTCGGAGGTAAACCTCAGGCAGTCATTTTGATTTTAAGTCTGATGACAACATTTCTACTTATTCTTAGCCAGAACCTTAATTTATTCGAACCACGTGGTTAACTGTGTTAGTTTTCTCATTCATTTTTTCACCATTACAATTAAACTGGTTATCATATTGTTGAACTAAAATCCGATTATTTTAATTAAGTATGTATTTGTTGTGTTGAAGTTGAGGCTTAAGTATCCACAGAGGCATATACTTTTGAGATGCACACATGAATGTAAACTTTATTTCGGTTAACATCAAAATGATTTTTGCCATCGGTTGCAGGCGATGTCTCTTGATTTTGATTTGTTTCTTCCCCTGCAGCAAGAGCAGTATGAGAGCACAATTGGCTTCAAGCTGCCCAACTACAAAGCCTCAAAGAAACTTTGGAAAGTTTGCGTTGAGCATCATACTTTCTTCAGGTAGAGAAAAGTTTCTCTCCACTGCTTTGCCTGGCAACAAAGGATAATTCTCAGCTTCTCTGTATACTCTAGATAGAAAGTAGGCTTACAAGCCAAAGTAATTTAAGACTCATGTTGATGAGTATTTAGGGAAAGCTAAATACTCATCGTCCAAGTCTAAGCCTTTAACATTTTGTTGCATCGCAATAAAATAGTTGAAATTATATTTTGAAAAGTTAAACTCATTTATACATTCATTACACTGAGGATGATATATTTCAAGGATTTATAACTGTTTCTTTTAGAGAATCTGGCTTACAGCTGTTGAAATTCTTTCTCAGTAAAATTATAATATCTTAAGACCAAGTTAAATCATCTTTAGTAGAGAAATGTAAGTTATGGGTGTCAAATTGTCAGTCACTGACGGCCTCCAGAAAGAGTGTAAGCTACAAAGGTCATGGCTAAAATAAATGTTTTAAGGCATTTTATATATTAATGGAAAGTTAATATATAAACTCCTTTACAGCTCATACAATTTAATGATATATATATATATATATATATATATATATATATATATATATATATATATATATATATATATATATATATATTTTGATTCGGATTATTTTAAGAATAAAAAAAAAATGTCTTTCTCAGGGTTCCATCAGTGGAGCCTCCATCGTCCCGTCGTTTTCTTGTCTTGGGTTCCAAGTTCCGGTACAGCGGCCGTACTCAAGCCCAGACCCGGCAGGCGAGCTCCATGATCGACCGCCCAGCGCCTCGATTCACACGTTCTGCAAGCAAGAGGCTGTCACGTAACTTGGACGGAGGTAGGGTAAAGTGTGTGTCTGAAATAGTTTCTTGCTATAAGCTTAAAGGTTGATAAGTAACATTCTGACTTGTTTTACACTTGCAGCTGGAGATGAGACTCTCCAGTTTCTGCAGCAACTCTCTGAATCATGCAGATCTGAGACTGATGATAGGTCATTCTCTGGCCAGCCTTCTGTGGAATTTCCAGGTACCAGGATGCACATGAGGCGGACACATTGCTGGTTTCTTGCTAATTGCTTTCAGCGTCATCGCTTTTATCAACATGCCTTCACATTTTCATTTGGTTTTATTGCTTTAATATTTTAAAAATGCAGCTCTTCAACTTGGTAACTACGACCAATTTTGGACGTTCAGTAACAAGGCTCAGTTATTTTTGATTGCTCTGCATGGTAAAAGGAACAAAAATATTCCGACTTCCTGTTTTGTTTCTCTGTCGGAGTCATTTCCAGTGTTGAAATTGGGCTTCCTTATTTTAAAGTGGAGAGCTTTAACTCACAAATGGCTTTCACCTCATATTGCCTCCTCACTGAATAACTCACTCATCACTTCTGCAGCAGCATTCTTTAATCGAGGTTGTCCAAGGTATAATAATAAGCCGTTTTGCTCTTGTTCTAGAAGATGAGTTGCATTTTTCATCTTGCTGGCACTAACCTCATCTTTTTGGACTTGCAATAGAGAGAGTCCAAAGGTAAAAAAAAAAAAAAAAAACAATGCTTGCACCTAACTAGGCTAAAAGCCTGCTTGAAGCACCATGAAGCATCCACAACAGTCGTCATCTGTTCTGCAGAATCATTATGTAACTTCAGTCACCGCACCATCTCTTCACAGCCAGAGGGGAGTCTGAGCAGACTGTGACCTGGCAGGGCACCATAGATGGTGGCTCTCAAATTATCAGTGAACAGCAACAGCAGTACCTAAAGGAAGGCGAGTGGTCTGACCTTCTGTATCGTCAACCTGCTGTAGCCACTGTGGAGACTTTTGATTTTGTGGAACACCAAGGTACCTTCACTATAGATGCCCATCCGCATTTCTATCGTTTTCTATATTAATCACAATGCAGCTGTTTAAAATGTTTATAAATGGGTCGTTATTAGATTCCCTCGATATGAAAAGCTGAAGTAAGCATGCTACTGTTTTGCACAAATAAAAAAGAACCGTTAACTGATTGTAGCACATCATTATTATTATCTCTGGTGCCAGCCAAACCCAGCTCTGGATACTCCTCCTCTCCGGACCCGCTACATAAACCTGCACCATACCAGCAGGATGACTGGTTCCTATACTTTGGTCGGTTCTTATCTGAGTCTGAAGAAAATATTTTGTGTGAGTTGTTTGGGGGAATTATTAACTTTTTCAAATTTACTTAGTAAAACTTGTTAACAGCCTGCCATATGTTCTAGATTAGTTAGGTGTTTGATTGATCTTTTTGCTCTTCTCAGCCTCTCGTAAAATCCAGTCCCAGATCCGTTTGGAGGAGCTTGTCACATCAGTGGTCAAACAAGAAGAGACTACCGAGCAAGTCATTGAGAGACTGCAGAAGTCTGTGGCCTTAATAGACACGTTGACAGAGATCGAAGATCTGGAAGGGAAACTGAGAAAAGTGAGGGACTTGGAGGAAAGACTACAGGAAGCGGGTGAGGTGTCAGAGAGGATTCAGAGGATCATCGAAGAGCAACTGGGGCAAGAAGAGGTTGAAAGGTTAAGAGCAGAAGAGGGGGATTTGGATCAGGTGGTTTTACAGAGATTTATGAAGACGATTGAGACAGATGAGGATGAAGTGGATGAACTAGAAGAACAAATTAAAGCTGTGTTTTTAAAAGGCTTGGTGCCTGAAGAGGAAAACGAGCTGAATCAGTTAGATGGGAGTCTGAGGACTAAGGTACGAGAGATACAGAAGGAATGGCAGGAAGACGTACAGCAAAAGTTTGAGTCTTCAGATGTTTCTGGGGCCACTTCTGTTGTGATTATGCAGAAGGTTGAGCACAGGGACGGGAAGAGGGTGATGATTGTGGATGAGAGCGGGAAGTCAAATGGGATGTTAGAAAAACAGACCGAGAGAGAGGTCACAGAGAGGCTTCATTTTGGAAATCCTGTTGAGGAAGAAAATGAGGATGAATGGTACCTGCTTTTTTACCGCCCTCCAGTTTTCAGCCCATCAGGTACAGTATGTTACTCTGTGAGCCATTTTGACCTTCGACTAATCTTTCTAATGTTCTAACCAGTTTGCAAGAGATGGCCGTCTTGTGGGAAATATTAATACATTTACCAACTACTACTACTGTTCTTTGAATTGCATTTGTGCTCACTGCTATTGTGCTCCTTTGTGGATTAGAAGGTTGCATGAGAAGTTTCTTGCGGGAACAACCTTGTGTGGACTTTTGCTGCTTTTGGCCTGCAGAACACATTACAATTTCTTTGCGTCTTTACCCTCTTGATTTTTCACTGCTGTAGATGAGAGCACATATTTAAGATCAGTGGTGAAGAGACAGGTAGGAGAAGAGGAAATTCAGGAACAACCATGGATCCTGCAACAACCAGCACTCGTGGAAAGGGTGGATGACTGGTTTGTGTTGCTGGCGGGGCCTCCAACAGAAACCAAATATGTAGAACCAGGTACTGTTAAAACGGTGTATGTTGTTTTTGCAAATGAACAATGCTGTTCTGTACTGTATTGCTGCTTGTTGATAAAACAGTGAGAAAATCTTCAACTGGTTCCATTTATCAGTAGCAATGAAGGAAGTCCAGATGGATGAAGGGCAGTTTGTCTCAGTGGTTGAAGTTTCAGAAGATTACAAGGCGGAAATTGAAGAGAGACAGATGATACAAGAAACGCAAAGAGAAACCTGGATAGAACCAGGTACTGCTGAAACAGTGTGTGCTGGTTTTGCTCTTCTGCCTTATATTCTGCTTGCTTGCTGATAAAATATGTGCTTACGTCTGTGGATTGAAAAAGTCCTCTCCTGCTTCCATTTATTAGTAATGATAAATGAAGCCCAGATGGATGAAGGGCAGTTTGTCCCTGTGGCTGAAGTTTCAGAAGATTACAAAGTAGTAGTTGAAGAGACACAGATTACCCAAGAGGCTCTGAGATGTCTTAAAGAAATCCAGTCAGTGACTGAGAGGGACGATGACTGGTTTGTGTTGCTGGACGTTCCTTCTAGACAAACTACATATATAAAACCAGGTACTGACAAACATACTGTCTCCCATGCTGCTTAATTGGATCGGTTCTTTCACTCCCAACTTTATTGTATTACAGCCAGGAAAGACTGAATTATGCTTTATTTTGGTTTTGTTGTTGAAGTGAGTCTACCAGGAGGTGTCTCCAAATCCCAGATTGAACGTGTCCCAGCTGTTGATCAGGGAGACAAAAGAGTTGAGATTTTTGTAGAGGATACTGAAAGAAAACAAATACCAAGGCAAGCAGAAGATGACTGGTTCAGTCTGCTTGATCTTCCTGACAGGGGAACATCACTTCTACAGCCAGGTATTACTACTGTACACTTAAATCCAAATCTGACCACTGATTTTTTAGTCCATTGCCGGTCTCTGACAGCATACGGTTTACTTTTGTTTTGTCTGTAGCATCAATGCCCGAATATGTTCAGATTCTTCCCAAAGAAAAGAAGGCAACTGTGACCGTCTCAGAGGCAGTAGAGAGGACAAGGGAGGTTGTAGTTGTAGTCAAGGAGACTGTGACTCAGAAACGTGACAAGACACCTCCAGAGCAGATAACGTTGTATCCAGTGAGCAACCGAGATGATGATTGGTATCTGCTGCTGGACATACCGTCCAAAGTAGAGTCTTATATTCCTCCAGGTACCTTTATCCTTCAGATGTCTTTATTCAGAGAAAATTCCTACAATATGTTTAACAGGAGTCAAAAGTAAATGTTCGTTTTATTCGTTTCAGTTTCTGTGCCAGAACCAGCTAAAATCAGTCCAGTTGTTCCAATTGAAGCAAAACGTGTAGAGCAAAGGTTATATCCAATTAGTCCACAGCCTTTCCAGCCTCTTCCGGAGACAGATGACTGGCTCATGCTGTTTGACATTGTTGGTGACAAGCCAGTTATCGTACCCACAGGTATAAGATCAATTTATGTTGTAATCACATTTTTTTAGTAGATTCATGTACACAAGTGAAGCTCAACCATTTGGATATTTTATGTGCACCAGCTGCCCCGGCTGAGGCTGTTCAAAAGATGGAAAAGACGTTTGAAGTCGAGGCAAAAACCACAGAGATTGCAGCGCACAAGGAAGTAAAAACCACAGAGATTAGAACATACGAAGAAGTGATAATTAGTGCGACCAGCGGGCAAGAGGGTACTCGTTCTCCTAAAATTAGGCCAAGCCAGCCCCCACCTCTGTCAAACATGGAAGATGATGATTGGGTTGTCTTGCTTGACATTACTCAAGAAAAACCCATACCCGATGCACCAGGTACTTTTAATTGGCTAAAGGCAGTCTATACTCTGTGTGCTTAAAGTTTATCAATCCTCATTTTTCTGTGTCAGTTGCTGAGGTTCAGAGGGTTGTTAAGACACCTGTACCCAGTGAACCAAAACCAAAGTTCGTCAAGGAGGATCAGAGGCCACCTGCTGTGACTGTGATTAACCTGCCACAACCAACATATGAGGGTGATGATTGGTTTGAGCTGCTAGATGTGGCACCAAAAGTATCAGGTACTATGCTATTGCTGTTTGCCTATTGCAATTAGGCAGATATGTTGTCTATTCCACAGTTCAACCAGTATGCTGCTACTGGGGGCTAGAGATGCACCAATTACCAATTTGTTGAGGTCACTTTTTAACCTCTGGATTTTTACTTCAACGGATTCCCATTTTTCTCCAATAGATATATTTTTTATTGGTTCTGGTTACATTAAAATTGTGGTTGTAGTAATAGTAAGACATTTAGAATGGTAAGAACAAAGTCCAACATGCTATATATTAAAATTAATCTCACAAATTTAAGTGGTAATGGATGTTGCGTTCAAGTTTCATGTGATTAAACTAATGTAGGACCAAGGTTTCTTGTGATATGTTGTAAATAGGTATCACAAGTAAAAATTTCTCACCAAACCATTTTTATTCTGGATGTTAATAACCAATTAATATGCAGTCAACAGATATTTATACAGCTATTAAAGGCATCACCCTACTTTAAAAGAAATGGCTTGTGGAAAATTTAAACAGGTCCTACTTTTCCAAGTCCTGTTGTAGCTAGCTGTGCTGCAGTGCTAATGCTAGCTTTTATGTAAATGGGTGCATGTAGTCTCATTTTTTGCAGTAATATCTAAATATAATCATGTAGTTGCTGGTTTTTATGTTTTTAACTATGAACTTTCTGTTGTGTTGAGTAACTCCTTTGAACCCCAGTTTATGGGCCGCAGGTCCAGTAGCCTACAATGCTAATCCGTACTGATTTTATAAATGGTTACATTTCTTTTTTCCTCACTTAGAGAAACTTCCACAATGAAAATATGAGTATCACAAGTTGGCATGTTGTAGTGTGTTTATGGGCCAACAGGAAAATCATTTCATTCACATCAAATGCAGAGGAATTGGTGCATCTCTACTTAGTCTGAAACGGCATATTTTTTACTGGTTTTATTGAGCTTTTTGATATACAGATTTAAAAATAGAAAGAAAACCCCAGAATGCCTTTCATTTTAGTTTTTCCTTCTGATTCCATGCCAGTGGCTGTGGAACAATCTGACTTCCCTGTTCCTGAAGCGAGAACAGCCAAAACGTTTGTAGCCACAGAGAAAAGATCACAGCAGAGGGTTACTATTGTGGATGAGACTTGGCAGAAGAAAGAAGTAGTGAAGGAACGTCAGCCCCAAATAGAAGTGGAAGACGATTGGTTTGTTCTCCTGTATCCAGACCTAAAAACATCAGGTATATCATGAAAGAGGGGTTCAACGAAACACGTACAAATTACATGTGTAAATTCAGTTTTATGCTATAAAGGCCCTGAGGGCTGTTGATGCTGTTCACTTCTTTTCCACAATAATGCCTCGTTCATATCTATGCTAGTTGCTGCCCCTGAAAGCCTCAGGGTCCGATCAGAGGTCAGAGTTCCATCTGCTGTGGCCACAAAAAGGGTTGAAATTTCTGAGAAGGAGCCACAGTTTGAAATGCGGATCCTGGAAGAAAGACGTCCAGTCATACACACAGATGTCACTGATGACTGGTTTGTTCTGCTAGATTTTGATGCCAAAGAGTCAGGTACCGATTACTTTTTTGTGTGTGTGTGGGGTGTGTTTTTGACTAATGCTCACTTGTGGGTTTCTTTGCGTCATAAAACATTTACTAACATTTGCTGCCTGGATACACGGGCTGATGCCCAGGCCTCTTCTCACATTTTCCACCTGGCAGTTTTTGCACACTGAAGAAATAATGCTGTTTTGTTCTCAACATTTGAATGAGTCATGAACATTTTGCCTAATATGCGACTTAACAACTGCTTTTGCCCGGCTATTGGATTACCTTAAATAAAACACCCTGCTTCCATCATGTCACCCTGAGGATTTCTGCTTCTTGCCTAAGTTTTATTCTCATATGTTTTTCTTTTAAAACCAAGCAAACTGAAAACACATGAGGTACAGTATATGCTTGCAGTTTTTGCATTTATTTCATTACAGGGCAACTGAGTGCGGTAAGTATGGTTGCTGATTGTGACAATGTTGCATTTAAAAGCTTAACGATGTGCAAACATATGACAAAAATACCTTAGTTATTAAACATGTTAACCTAAGAACTGCAAACATAATAATTATTTCTGTTAATGTCAGTTTTCCTTACATTTTTCTGTAGTTGTGAGCACGCAGAGGGGCACACGTCCCGTCAGTGCTCCAGTCTTCTCTCAGGCCGCGCTGGCAGATGCAGGAATCCCCATGGCTCCCTTCGACCAGCCCCAGACCTCCACTCCCATAAAGACCAGCCGCCTGGAAGAGAGGAAGCTGGAAGTCACGGTAGAAGCTGCAGAGCCCTCAAAAATAGAGGCCGTGTCTGAGGTCAAGGTATTTAGCTCATTTATTTACTCTTGTATCTGTCTGGGTTGAGAAATGCACAAACGTCTAAAAGGAACACAACATAAAGCAAAATAAAGATGTGGACAAATCTCTTGGCACCCTTTGTAAAGATGGATAAAAAGTGTTAGTACACTGTACATACTTTTATAAATGGCAGTAGCATTTTATCACACTCAAATTTTTACAAAAATCCAACCGTTAATTTGATTACTTTTTTTTTTCAATGGGGAAAAACATCCTATGTTGAGAAAATAAGTTTTACCATCTGTTGTTGATAAAAATTGGCACAGATGTTAATATTTCTATCAGTTGCTTTAAAATAAAATAAATGTAACTAAAACATTTTTTTTTCATATTCAAAAGTATTGTTGACGAATTAGCATCTTTGAGTCGCTCAGTGTTCATAGCAACTCTTAGATGCCATCTGCATAACAATCCTATGTTGTGAGAGCGATGCCAGAAAACAGCCATTTCTGTTCTACCATCTCAAACATAAACATGTAAAGTTTGCCAAACTTAACTGGAATTGTGTGAAACAGAAGATGAATATGTGGAAAAGCACACATTAACATATTATTATATTTATAATATTTTATTTCCCTTTGGGATCTATAAAGTATTATGAATTAATTAGTGTTAGTGTTAATCCAGTTTGACCTGTAGGGAGATTTGAATGAAAAAATAAAAGAAGACCTGGAATGGCTGATAATCTAGAGAGGTTTGCAAAGAGAAATTGTCAAAGATCTTCATCTCTCTATGCTTTACTCCTTTTGAAATGTGAACAAATACTTAGTGCTTCCCTACTGCAAAAAGATAAATGTATAAGGCCATATAATGTAATGGTTCTACTGAAGTAGGAAAACAAATAACAGTTACTGGAATTTTCAAAGTTTCTGACATTCGAAATGTTAAATCGAATTTGCTTTAAGGCTTCTTAAACATCCTTTATCAGGGGTCCAACTAAATTTGTCTGCATCTATAATTGTATGTCAACTCTATAAAAGCTTTATGCATTTAAGGTAAAAATCTTATCTATGATCTTGAATGGTTGAAAATATGTTGAAATTGTTACTGACTCAGAAAGAACACCTAAGAGTGTACAGTGAACAGAGACTTTTCATGCGTGAGCGTAAACTGTGTCTCTTGCTGCTGTAGTCAGCAGTGTCGAGGGAGCAGAGAGACGTAGATTCTTCACTGATATCCACCATCAATGGGTACATCCAGGTTAGTGGCAGGCTCAAGCCTGTAGCACACTGTCCCTCAAAGGACATGGTTTTTATTAACGCAACCAGCAGAGGGTGCTAACACATCTTCCTCTCTCCTCCCCCGGGGTAGCACGAGTCTGAGAGCGAGAGGACGATCGAGGAAGGGGTGCAAATGCGAAAGGTCAGACTCTCGGTGCCGCTCATGCGTTTCTCCACTTACGATTTTTGCATCTGAAAGGACTAATGCCACCCTCTTCTCATGTTGTGCTCCCGTGCAGCTAGGTATAAACTTAAATATACCAGAGATATCAGAGATAGCTGTACATCATGAGATGTACAGTTTATTTTTAAGAACCAGAAGAAATGCAATTATGAACAGAATGTGTAAGAATCTGGTCTTGAAGACTACTTTAGAGGCAGTCTGATTTGTTAAGTATTCTTTCCTCGCCTCAGTATAAGATGTACGTTTTAAAAGTTTTGCTTGCTGTCTTTGACACTGGAATGCACACATGCATGATCTTAGACTAACATGTGTTTTTGTTCAGTTTTTCATTATAGAAGTCCTTCTTCTTTGCTAGCATAGGACAGTTTTGGTCACTTTGCACCAAATCATTTTGCATGAACGCCTCTCTGTTCTTTCCTGACTGTTGTGTTTAACACATTAGTGAACTTCATACAGTGCATGTCCACCGTGCAGCAGTGTGATGCCAGCGTACAGGGAAACTGAAACAAACCCACACTTTTTTGTTTTTTTGTTCTTTTCATTCTTCACAGAAAAGAGCTAAGAAAATTGAGGGTGACTCAATTTATATCAGACATAGCCTGTTAATGCTGGAGGTTTGTATCTGTTTCGGAGCTCTCAAGCTGCATTTTTCTTGCTCTTTGGCACAACCGGCTGCTGCTGCTGTTTAATCTCACGCTTGCATGAGGCATGATTCACACTATTTCTTGCATCAGCAATAAGTAATTGTGTGGCAAATTGACTTGGTTGATTCAGGAGAGTGCTGCTGAACTTTTAAACACTGGTTTACACAAACATCCTTAATTTTTTGATCCATTGACTTGCTCTAATTATAAGACACGGGAATAAACTTTTGACCATAATCTGCGATGATGGACGTTCGGCTGTTGGGAAACTACTTTTCATAACAGTAGATGCACCGTACTTGAACAGTAAACTAGATATTTACATACCGTTATCCAATATTGGTGAAGATTAACAAAACGGAATAAAGAAAGGAAAAATAATTTTGAGAATTTTTAAACAACTTTGTTTTGAAGTTCTTTATTTAAGTAATTTACCCACTCTGAGACTAATATGCTTTTAAAAATGTTGAGTACAACCAGAAAATGATGTCATGGCTTTCTAAGCTTCCGATAGGCTCACGCTTTCTGACTTTATTTAGGCGCCATTGTGTGTTTATTGCAAGGCATCGCCTCAAGCACATTGCTTTCTTGTGAGACACCATGGGAAAGTCGAAAGAAATCCGCTGAGATATCAGGAGAGCTATGGACTCCAAAAGTTAGATCCATCCTTGAGTATAATTTGCAGATGCATGAAGGTGCCAGTTTCATCTATACAAACAAATACAAGTATGAGCACCATCTTAATGTCCACTCATACCATCCAGGAAGGAGACATGTTCGGTGTCCCAGAAAAGGACGTGTTTTGGTGAGAAATATGCTCATCAGCTCCAGAACTAAAGTAAAAGACTTTGCTGGCTGAAGCTGGAAAAAACGTATCATTATCCACAGTAAAACCTGTGCAGCACAAGGTATGAGATCACTTCAAAAGCAACAGAAAAATATTCAACAGTTTGGATGTGTAGTAAGGGATAAATATCAGAATATTATATATAATTTAATATAATTAATTAATTAATATAATACACATATCTTGTTGATCATTAAAAAATGTTAGCATTATAAACATTGTTATATTTGGAGAAAACATGGGGAGCCATTTTAGTCTGATAACACCATTCCAACTAGGAAGAACAGGAGTGGCAGCATCATGCTGTGGCTTCAAACCAATCATTTGAATTCCTCTCTCAGACCACAATCCAACTTCCTCCATTATTAGATGGCATTTGAAGAGAAAATATGACATGGAAATATTAAAAGCGTCTTCTCGAGACCTCTTTCTTGAAATAAAGCTCAGGCAAATGGGTCTTCCAAAGAGCAAATGACCCAAATTATGATGTCAAATTAGTTGCAAAGAGACTTTAGAACAAAAGAAATATTATTTGAGAGTGGGCTTCACAGCACTCTGTTTTTAGACCTATAGAAAATATGTGGGCAAAGCTGAAATACAGATGTGTGTGAGCAAGGTGATTCACAAACCTGCCTCAACTATACCACTTTTATTGGGGAAGAATTGGCCAAAATCCCAGTACTTATTGTGAAAAGTTTGGGGAAGAATACCCAAAACGGTAGCCCGAACCCAGGTTATACAGTTGGAGAGAGAATTTAACCAAATACTGAAAACATGTATGTAAGACTTGTAAATTTAGTCTCATCAGGTCACACCTTTCCAAAACTGGGGACAAAATCTGTCATCAGTGTATGTTCGGTTTATAGTTGATCTAGCTGCTTTGTTTTTTTTTTTGTTTTTTTTTTGTTTGTTTTTTTCAGATATAGATTTATACTTGACCATCAGTATTCCCCTGATTCTGCTTTTGCTCATTGTCTTTCTTAATTACCATAAATGCTCTGCACTTTTGCAACAGTTATAACTAATAAGTCACTGGCTGTAGAATAAAAAAAATCACAATAATTAAAGTCCTTTGTTTTGTGTGATGTGTAGCCAACATAACGTTTGGAGAAACGTTGCTTTCAAGCACAACAACCAGCTCCTTTTATACAATCTGCAGTTGATTTTGCATTACGGCTGCCATCATCTTCTTGACCATCCCAACTTGCTGCCAAATGTTGCCAAATCAGCGCTTCTTCTGTCGCATCTGTTCATTTCTTCCAAATGAACGTGTCTCTTCTACTCAGGCTGCGTCTTCAGCAATCTCGACCATGGCCGCCGTCTTCACTTCTCCTGCCCCTTTTATTTGCAGCCTGGTTTTCTTGATGCTTTTATTGCAATTTCAATTGCTGTGGAGTTGAAGTCCTTACTGGTCGATTTCTGCTTGTTTAAAACTACAAATCAGTCAGCTGCCAGACTTCATATGAAGTTTGAAAAGCACCGCTGATTACCCGCTTTGAAAAAAGCCAAGCATTTGTACTTCTAGGAAGAAGTACAAACATCTGGATTTATCCCCCCCCCACCCACCCCTAATATTTTTCCCACAGAATTACCTGCTAACTCCGCTTCTGCTTATTCATGAAACCAGACTCACAGATGGACTAGTAAAGCAACATCATAATCTCATGCTTTTCTTTTTTTTTATTTCCTTCTATTCCCAATATCCTTCTCTCTCCATGCGTCTATCATTGCCATGGTCCCTTCCATTTATCACACTCTCTGTCCTTCCCCCACAACACCTCGTCCTTCTCCTCTCAACTTTTTCTGACTCGTGTAGGAGTTCGAAAAGCCTCAGGAGGACCTGCTCAGGCACCACGCCAGCATCAGTGAACTGAAGCGGAACTTCATGGAGGCCGTGCCGGAGCCGAGGCAGAGTGAATGGGACAAGCGTCTGTCCACGCACTCTCCATTCCGTACCGTAGGCATCAATGGCCAGCCGCTGCCCAGTGCAGATGGGGTAAGTCCTGCGGATATAATTCCCTTTTTAAATTTGAATCTTCCGGTTTTGGAGTTGGAGGGAATTTTGATGGTCAGCTCCGAACTGGCACATTATTCTGGGGCGCTGTGCAGTCGTATATCAAATAAACCTCTATTTTGCTGTAAACGTTGCATAAGATTTCAGTTTTCTTCAATAAATCTGCCGACCATGTAAAATGATGGAGGAAGGACTCGGTTTCTTCCAGCTGCTATTCTTGATCATCTCTGTGTGATACTGTGTGCAAAGTGAATGCATGTACTTCTCTGACGAATCTGACGGCACGTGGTATGCAGCACATGCATGTGTATGAAGGATTGCATTTTTACTGGTGGAACGAGGCCTGGTGCTTTCGTTCTCTCACTGTTGAGACAGACAAGCGCGAGGCTTCGGTTGGACTGGTTATCCAATCTCTGAGAAATTGGATGTTAACTGCACTGGATGTGTCCGAACTCCCGACATGTTTGTGTTGCATGACTGACAGACCTGACTCAGAAAGAATAGCGCATGACTAAGATATGAGCAGTTTTCTTGAAGGCTTGCACGTCCTGATACAGAGCAGTGCTTCCTTTTTTCTCCTTTCCTCTCCTCCTCCTTCATTGCTTTCCTTCTGCTTCTGATCCACTTTCTTTACTTCCGCTTTAGTTCGGCTGTTGTGTTTTATAAATAAAGTTTCATCCACTTTTGCATCTGAACTTTTAGTGCCTTGCAAAAGTGTTACGAATGTTTCACATTACAAATGCAAACTTTATCGTATTTTGCTGGAATTTTATGTGATAGAATGACGTGCCACACACTTTGAAAAGGAATTAAATAAATTAAAGATGAACAGATGTGCATTTGTATTCAGCCCCACTTACTCTGAGACCCCCCCCCAAAAAAAAAGCAGTGCAAACAAATGCACTTAGAAGTCACCTACAAGGTAGAGTCAGTCTGTTTGCAGTTTAATTTCAGCTGGCCTGAGAATTTGTTGATTACTAGTAGATGCGTCCTCCACAAATCTGGGGATATTGGCAGGACGGGAGAAATTATTGAATGACATCCTGTAACATCACACTTAAAACTTACCATGAGCCATGTAGGAAACATGAAATATCTGGAAAAAGGTCAGAAGACACCAAATTAAACATTTTAGCCCACATGTAGCTCTCTGCGTAGCTGAAAACTAACGATGCACATCATCTTAAACACAGCATCCTGACAGTGTAACATGGCATCGGCACCATCAAGCTATTAAAGAGTTTTTCTTTAGCAGAAGCAGGAAATGATGAGCACAATTCAAGGCAATCCTGAAAAAAAAAAAAAAAACGTTAGAAACTGCAGAACATTCAAGACTAGAGAGAAAGTTCACCTTCCCACAGGAACATGACAGACATAACTGGGGTGCCAAAGTATCCCTACCTAAATCATTATAGGAATCTGTAGAAGGACGCAAATATTGATGTTGACGGATACCTGTTCATACACATCAAAATTATTCTCTACTTCATGTTGTTCTCTCACACAAAATCCCAGTAAAATACATTGATGTCTGTGGCTGTAATACGTGGTTGATGGCTTACATTTTCATCAACATGCGGTTGAGTCGTACAGAAATCACAACGGGGAAATGAAACGGGGCCCATGCAGAACCTGCTTACTGTCAACAATTATTAGCTCGAAACATCAAGTATCCTGACAGAGATTGCTTCTAATTTTACATAATTTATCATTCTGTGTTTACTGTGAGAAGGGATAAGCCATCTAAGCAGACAGACTTATTTAATTCTGAAGTACTCCACTGGACTTAAACATATGAAATATACCATGATCAACTCGCAATGCTGAATTTATTCTGGCTGTGATTGAATCGATTGAATTTTATCTCTGAACTTTAATTCCATGTTAGTTGTGTAAATTGATGCAGGACGTGTGGATCACTTTGTCTTTTCCAAACCAATATGAAATCCTTAGAGATGGAAATTAAGGAGTGCATGTTAAAATGCATGTAGTGTTGACATTCCCATGCTCTGAGTAACAACAATGACATTCAAAATTTTGTTCAACAAACTTTATAATTTCAATAGGAAGACACTGCAAAATGTTAGCAGTTCTATATCAATCATTGCAGACTCTTCAGAAATCCTTCCTCTTATCTCTCTTCCTCCCTCCTCCTCCTCCTCCCCCTCTCAGTTTGTCATCCGCCTCCCACGCGGCCCTCTGCTAGACTTCTACTCCAAACGCAGCTGAGGCTCTGCACAAAGGTGTGAATGTGACCCACGGAGGCCGCGCCTCGCTCATCTATCAATCATTCTCTAGCTTTCCTCCCTATTCTTCTCCTCCTCCTTTCGCCTCTTCTGAAACACCACTCCAGCATTCTTCACCCCACCGCCTCCCAACCTCTGCTCCACCCGAGAAGCTGCCCTTTGCTCAGACAGCTGTCAGAAAAGACTTTGATTCTTTGGTTCCTGGTGCTTCACAACCTCCTGGTTTCTCCAGCCAGAAACAGACCTCATCTGTAAAGACTGATCAGGACTGGAATTGACTGTTTCACATTTTTCTCTGATGGAGTTTAAAGATAACTACAACTTAAAGTTTTTAAAGCATGACCAGATCACTTTGAGCCTGTTTTCTACACATGCTGGGTGCATTTATATCTTCAGTAGTTTTTAGGATTTTTGTCTTTGGATAAACTGATCACTGTGACTTTTTTCTGAACACACACAACGTACAACCTTGAATGACATGTTTCTCATATTCTTTCTCATAGAGTAGCATTTCCTGTTGTTGGAAACCTTGAGGCAGCTCAGTTGTAATACATTTTTGTCCTTCACCACAACAGAGTTCCTGTTGCATGATATTTCGACAATCAACTTAGACCAAGGAATAAAAGACATTCCATAAACAACTTGGTCTTTTTCGTTTCATTCGGTCGGATTTCCTCATAGAAATACCAGGTCCTAAACATTAGATTTATCTAATGCATTGTTGTTCTCTCTCTGTTGTCAACAACAAATAGAAAATAAACTATGGGCTGACCAAAGTGTTTTAAAGTCAAGATAAACAAGAACACAACAAAATACAAACCAGAAAACATTAAAAATATATTTAAATAATACAGCAAAAGGGCAAATATTTGTTCAAGTCTCTTGTTTTATTTAAATCACACCAACAACAGGGGCCTGGGAATTTATCTTAGTCAGGAGCTTTGACATCATGCATTTAAAAATGCATTGATTGTGTCCCCCCACAGCCCTAATCCTAAATAATGCATTAGTTTCATGTTTTATATTAGTTCAATATGAACATTATTGGGGAAAAAAAATTCACACAAGAAAGGAGAAGCTTTAGGGTGTAATTTTATTTTATTTTTATCAATAAACCTCATGATTCTTTTGTCCCTGAAAATACCTGATGTGGACTGTGGGGGTAAAGTTGGAGACATTGAATGGACAAAATCTACCATTTTTATCTAAATCTTTGTTCTCGTGGTTCAGCAGCTAACTGTATTACGAATGGAAATGATTCGAGAATGGCTTGCAGGCTTCGTCTTTTCCAGTGAAACTGATCATTTTTATTCAAGAAAACAAGGAGACTGAATCATTTCTGTTGACATCCCACGTTGTTATATCTTTGTTGTATGAAGGAAATGGCATGCAAACATGTTTTATGATTCATGTAAATGTCATTTGTTATTCACAACTCTTTGCCTGCTCATGATCATAGTGACTGTGTTTGTCTTTTTTTAGAGTGTGTGCATTAGTCCCAGTTGCAAAAGATCAGAAACAAAAACTCTTCATGAGGATGCCAGGAGTAATTTCGGGGGTGCCGAGGCATCTGGGTCCTCTCAGAGCCGTCAGAGTGAACCTGACGTTGTCGAAGGCCTCAGCGCTCCTGTTGAAGAGTCATTGTGCGATCACGAGGAGGTTGTGCTTTTTGAGACTCTCCTGGTGCCGCTCGTAGAGGTGGAAATGGCGCAACTGGCTCCCCCAGTTGAGTCCGTCTGTAAAGCTTTAGATAAGATCCCGGAGGAAGAAGGAACATGTCTCGTAGCGCCCGAGTGCTCCGGGGGAATAGTTGGACTTTCCTCACCTTCCTTTTTCTGGAGTGACGGTCCGAAGGTCATGCGCTGCTCCCAGGTAGTCTCAAAGGGGGGAGATGCGGTTTCTTTTCTTTCTAGGCCTTCAGCTTCCACACTTGCTGACTTCTTTGCAGCACCAGAACAAAAGAAACCAACACCAATCTAGAAAGAAAATCAATGCTGCAAAGAGCGGCAGTTGAGTTTAATGTAAACGGAGTGTGCTGCAGAGGTGTCGCACGGTGACGCTGCAAGATCCTGGCTATGGTGACGGGTTGCTATAACAATACCACTTTCTACGTTGAAACACAATGATTAAAATCACTCTATAAGTGACAGAATCATCCTATAAGTGTTGCGAATGAAGTTGGAGGTGTGACTGCATTGTTTTGGAAATAATCAGACCGGGTTTGGGCTGGTGGTGGTGGAAACAATTTGCACTAAGAGGGATTGCATGGTGTGAAAGAAGAACTGATTGCTGTGAGGTGCGAAGTGTCTGGTTAAACAGCCACTCACGGGGCTGTGCTCCCATTCACAGCCCCCTCTGGTGCAGACCCACACTGTCACCATCACAGCTGTTTCCAACTCCCTGCCTGGTGACATCTCCACCACAGAAGTTCCCATCGTCCCAACCAAGACCTTCACCTATGAGTCTTCAAAGGTAGGGGCTCCAGCTCCAGCAGCAGCTCAGTCCAGATCCAACTTGCCTCCAGAACTTGACAAGCTAACAGTATGATGGTTCTTGAAGGGGCAGCAAAGGAATGGAGGGCTGGGGGGAGGCGGGACAAAGAAGCTTTACTGCACCTTCCTAAGAAAAACATCAGCGTTAAATCAGTTTGAAAAGCTTAATCAGTTTTTTTTTTCTTCTTTTGGTGTTTTTCTCAGATGACAGATGACGGTACAGATGAGGACAAGGATAGCTCTTTTTCCACTTCCAAGACCGTTACCTCAGAGACGAGCAGCGGCACCACTGTCACCACCACCACCACCCATATCTCAAAGGTTAGCTGTGCAACTTTTCTTCCACTCATCCTTTCAGATTGGTGGGCCTCTTGAATACACTATATATATGCTTTTTGTTCAGGTGGTAAAAAGTGGATCCTCAGAGACCCGGATGGAGAAGAGAATTGTCATAACGGCAGACTCTGATGTTGACCAAGAAAAGGTACATGACATGAAACACCATTTGCTGCCTATAAAAAAAGAAAACCTTGTAAAAGCACACATGGGGTCAGTGCGAGCCAGCTGGACCGCGCACAGAGTAAAGAAGTCATGGGGTCTAGATGACCCTGACATGAAGATTGTGAAAGGGTTAATAAAGAGGAGATTTGAAAAATTAAACATTCTTAAAACGTATATAAAGGTCCAATCAATTTCAAAAAGTCAGAAAACACGTAATGTTTGCGTTTGCAAATATTTCATTTAATGGATGATTAAGATTTGCTACCAGTTTCGATTACAAAAAGAAAATCCACTTTTTGATTCTGATATCACAAATATATGTTTGTCTTTTCAGGAGAAACATGGCGGAGCATCAGCATTGTAACAGAGCCCTTCCCTTATCCATTTAACTCGCCACCTTCAACATCCTTTAGACCGCGACACTCAACACACACAGTGACCAAGTCTGTTCGCGCACAACAGAAAAACCTCAGAAATCTTCATCTGGCAGGACTGATTATGGAGTAGGCTGTTCCTTGTAGATCCTGTTTGTTTTCTCAGTTGAGCTCTTCACAGTAGGTAGGAAGTGCTGATCAAATGCTTCACTTATCATCCTGGGGTTTAGTGTGAACATTTGATTGGTTTATAACCAGCCTTTTCTCAGTTGAGTGATGTCTGTTATGTTTGCTTTAAAATGCTTTTATTGTTTAATAGTGGTTTTCTACAAATGTAGTAGAGCGTCAGTTCAGAAACCATGATTAGCAGTGATTCCCTTGGTGCTACTTGGGGAAAACGTTAAGACGACATTCAAGTGAACTCTTATTTTATTTATTTTTTTTTGTTTGTTTACTTGTCTATTAAATTCAGGAGAGATTTTATTATTATTATTATTATTATTTTATTATTATTATTATTATTATTATTGAAATGACATACCTCACATTTAAAACGTGAACAAATATATTCTGTGCTCAAATTTGGACAGGTTTTTTTGGCTTTGTTCACTGCTCAGGTACTAAATGCGAGGTCCCAAATCTTTGCCTCCCCCAAACAGCGTGGAACCAGTAGCCTACACATTCTTGTAAAGTTTGAACTAAAATTGATCTATTTTCGAATATTTCTCTATTTTTTAAAAGTATGCTTTTTATAGTATTTGTAAAAAAAAACAAAAAAAAGGAGGTTTTTAAGTTATTCATATCCATCTGTTCATTCAATTTGTAGGTGACCAGTTATTTAAAGAGCTGTTCTGCCTGAATTAACCTGAATCATTCTTATTCGTTTCCTCTTGTAGTACACCAAGTTTACCAGATTTCTCATCTTTTTACTGAGAAGTGCTCCACAAGTCATGCTTTGCTCATTATCATAAGAGTCATAATTACTTTTAACATACAGTGGCTTCTTTAAAATGTAAACACATCCATAAAAGGACAGGTTTTTTTTTGTGTCAATAATTGGTCTTTGTTAAACAATTTTGAAATCTTCTCCACACATGCTGTGAAATTTATCCTGTATGTTCAACAGAAACAAGCTTTTTTTTTAAGATAGAAAAATA